TTTAAACACACTAAAAATGAAGACATTGCTATCACTCTTGCGCAACGATATCAGATGATCGATAAACACCAGGGGGGGGGGGGGGGGGGGGGGGGGGGGGGGGGGTTGTGTTTTGGCATTTGTCCTGAATTCCCAGTTGTTTCCGTTTGTGGTGTATCTCCTGTCTCTCCCGTTTCCGTTGCGTGTGTTTCTGTGGTTGGCTCTGGTTTTTTTGGAGGTGGTGTTGTTTCTTCTGCCTCGATGAATGTTTCGCCTACTTTACTAAATGCTTCTATTTTCAAATCTTTGGAACCCATTCGGACTTTTTCCCAATCAACTCCTTCAACCAAGCAATACGCTTTGCTTTCAAACTCTTGGTATTTTTCATCTCTTTCTTCACGATTTGGAAATGAAATTGCAATTTCATTAATAGTAGGAAAAACCCACTCTTCTCCTACTGTTTTTATTACTATTCCTCCTTTAAAAGTAAGATAATTATCAAGAGAAGAAGGATATTCACATGAATTATAAGAAAAAAATATGTCTTTCTTTCCTTTTAGTTCACCAATAACAACATCATCTCCGAATGAAAGGGCATTATAAACTTTTCCGGACTGAGTTCATTCTTCGACTTCTATTTGTTCTTCCGGAATAGAAAAAATGTAAATGTTTGAACTACGTAAATTTTTGATTTCTTGCTCCTTATTTTTTCCAATTTTTATATATTTAAAACTTTTAAGTTCATTCTTCTCATATAAAAATTTACTATTAACTGGGTAAACATTTTTTTGAGCATCTTTTTCGGGATGTCTCCACATGTTGCTCTGAATAATAAAATATTTTTTTGACATGATTAGTTTAAATTTTTTTTCAATTCTTCATTAATGTTAACCATGGCTAATCGGTAAATTTCCTCTTTAAATTTTTTTATTTTATTGGCTTTGTCAATAATCGCATTAACTGCACTTTCTTGGTTTTCTAATTGTTTTTGTAGGTCAATTATATATTTAGGCAACTTACTGTTGGCCCACTCCTCAATTTTTTTCAATTTTTGTTCTTGGTCGGTTGAATTATCGTTTCTTGTGAGGTTATATTTGGTAATTAATAATTCCCGGATGGCCTTTATTACTGAAAATAAATTAACATTGTCACCGCTGATGTAAATTTTTTTGTGGGGGTCGATAGTTTTGGCTGACCGAATGATTTTGTCCCCTTCACAGGTAGCCACAATGAAACCATAATCGGCCTGATGAGATACCATGTCTCTCTCCAATTTGTCAACTCAACTATT